CTATCCTATTCAAATAGTTAGCTCGGGGTACATATTATACGCCCATTTATCGACACACGACCTTCGTTGCCGTGTCTCATGAAGCTTTACTCTGCTCATTACCATTACCACAGAAGATATGATGACAGCTATAAACAATTTTTGATGGATTACCCAGTGAGCTAGTATGCATTTTTCTGGTATACCTGTTAGTACCCATTATTTGTTTGTTGAAATATTAATCCAGTTTTTGCAATTTTGGTCTTGAAATTGAAAATACGCGATAGGAAAAGTTAGACTGAAAAGCGGATGTCACTCCAATATACAAACCCAATATAAAAATAAGTTAAATATTATGCCTTGAAATTGGTTGAAATTTAACCACCATTTTTTTGCGATAAATCCGAGGTAATCAGTAGCCCACAAAAAACTTATAGTACGAGATATTGGGAAATGGATTTTACAAGTCTCGACACTGTAATATCTCGACAACAACGAGTCAGGGATGGTTTTTCGCCAAAAAAACGAGAGAGATTTTTTTAATCTGGGTTACCTTTCAGGTTTCCGGGTTGTGGTTTCAATGATAGGTTTCCCGACGTGCCAGGCCAAGACAGAGCCCGTACATGAGTTGGACAGGTCTGCCTGACAGACCTCGCATCAACAGGTTTAGCGCCATTTGAATTCTCAAATTCACACGTAAAACACACGTCCACACCGTCTATGTTACCAGGCCACCCCTATAAAAGGCCTTTGTTCATAAAGGACAACTCTGTGTTCTCCTCGATGTGGACACATATGGTGAAACTCGCCTCTAATGAACAAACAACAATGATCTACAGGGGGTAGAAATGCATCTTTTGAACAAGGGAGTCCAACGACTCCCTACCCTCAAAACATGGGTCGCAGTCTGGGTTTCAAATTAAGATGATTAACATACAACGAATGTGCTTATTTTGAAGATTCATCATGATTGCCGTCAGCGCAAATTTTCTGCCATTAGCCTGAAAAATCGCGGTAATTCTGCTAGGCCCGTGGCTCGCAGACGAACTGGTTCAGTATCACAGAATTTTCAGGGAGTCACAGTCTTGCAGGCGGTCGCGGCGAGGTAAAACAGGGAGGTATTTGATCGGACTCCCCCGTTATTTCGCCACCCTGCGTCTAGTGTTTGTTATTTAGAATTCTACTGCAGAGCATGTTATTACATCGAAACAGATACGTCACAACAGGATGTCTATTAAGAAAAATCGTCCTTAATGTTCTTAAATGCCTTCACTCATTATAAGGCATTTTATTTCCTGTTCTAGACAGATACATGTGCTTCATTTTCAAGGGACATTCTGTACGGCAAAACACTTTCCAGGATCATATACGGAATGGGCCAGGCTTTCTGGACTTATGGACACTGCAGAACGTGTGCAATACTTGACTTTTATGCAAACTGGGAGCCGTAACCAACAATTACCGATCAAAGGTTACAGTACCTTCCTCATGAACTCGGCCAACCAGCACAGCACACTATACGTACACACAAATTGATTGCTGATGGATAATGATTGCATGATCCAAGAGGTAATAAATCCAAAACCAAACATGGCGGCATTCAGAGATTCACCCCAGCTTTACAGAAGGCAGTACTCAAATGTTCTTACGGCTAAAAAAGACGTTTGTTTCGCGTATACCCATGTCACACCAGGCCCGATTCACTTACGTCGTACTACGTCCGCTTAAGAGCGTGTTGTGCGAAACGTGTTAGAACGCAGTTGACGTATATGGACGTTACTGCGATCGCGAGTCGCTAGCGCGGTGCAGTCACCATGAGCGTGGAGAGCGTGAGCCAACTGCCTGAACATGTTAAAAAACCAATATCGTTGGTGCGTGCGTGGCGGAAAGACAACGCAGTGCGCGGCGTAATTGAGACGTGAAGGCACTAGTCACCACGTAACTCGAGCGTATAGTACGAACTTATGATCGTGTCGGTCGTGCTAGGTGAAATTGTCGCACCCCGTTCTCAGCACATGTCAATGTTTTCATCAGGCTGTACTATCCCATGGAGATGTCTTCTGCCGACTGACACGTTCTCACTATGCCATGGTGCGTCTCTAGCAGCATCGACCCGTCGTACTACGATGTGTACTACGCAACGACGCTCAGACCACGCCATTGTGTGCTTCGCATTACAATGTTAGCTTACGCTCAGATCACGCTCCTGCGGAACTTGGGCTATAAATTTGGGGCTTACCCCTGGACCACCACCAGGATCCACTATGGATGATGGCAACACTACTCATGACGATGTTTCTCGTAGCGGACACACTCGAATTACTGCGATTGCCAAGCCCTCATTCATGCTGAAGAGGATGAGAGGTGAGAAATAGAAGTCTTTGGCGGCATGCTGCCTGATACTATTTATGGGTATTAAATCAGTTAGCAAGTTATCTTGATTGTGACAGCAGGCAAACATATGATGATGGTCTTAACGGCGCGCCAGTGTTTCATATGTCGTTGCCGCGCAGTCGGGCGCCTTGCCTAGACCGTGATTAAGTCGCCACTAGGGCTTGCTGGCACGACAGTTGAGGCGCCGCTGGGTGGAGCAATGCGATCTATTAGGTCGCAATATAGACGCAGGTGAGCGCAGTGCCAAGGTGAGTGCCGGTGTGCGTGTGAGCGTGTGCTGTGAAAGCTTTGTTGAGCGCAATAAGTCGGGTGGTAAAAACGCACTTTAATCTAGTATCGACGTATTAGATCGTAGTATCGGAGCTGGGCCCGCCCTGGGGGCCCATTGGCCCAGCTCTCACCACGTCACCACACTGCGGCAAATTTTTGTGAGCGTGGGCGCGATCGGTGTATGAGCGTAGTCAGGTTGTGCATAGCCTTAACCCGGCCTAGTCCATTTCACCCCCCCCCCCCCCCCCGTGCCCAAAAAGTATTCATTGCGACGATCGGCCAAAAAAAATCGCATGTGATGCATTTAATTTTATTTGGACATGTCATTATATGGCGGCTTGTCATTATTAAGTATAAAGAAGTATTGTCTAAATACCACAAAAAAATATTTGCAAAATTTTTTCTTGCTGCCTAGCTCCGTTGTCTATTTTTATTTCAGCTCGTTAGCCAGAGACAACATCTTTTTTCTTAGGCCCTTACTAGTATCTAGACTGTAGCTTGAACGTTCCTATTGAGGGTGAGAAGGGCGGAGGCAAGACCACTAGCACTGCCAGCGGCTCTACTCGCTGCAGTGATGGGTGCTTGCGATCCTCTTGAATTGATCCACGGCGTGTATTTGTACACGGTGCGTAGAGTCCCGTGCGAGCACGGCGCGGATGCCACAGCTAGTTAGCATGCGCCATCATTGACCGTCACGCCAAGCACCTACAGACGTGACAACAGAACATCTCTTCTTGTCATATCAAGAGTTGCGTTACAAAGTTATGACATTAACAACTCTACACTGTATAATGTAGCAGTAGCACAGTTAGCAGTAGCAAAGTACGCACGCACGCACGCACGCACGCACGCATTTGTCTATAAAAACACATGTCTTCTTTATTCTTGTTTGACTTTCGTAGTGAATTCGAACAAATATATCAGCTACACTTCCGCACCCACCTAATCTCTATGGGCTAATTCTAATAACAAGAACAATAATAACAATTCAAATACAAGTTAAGGAATGACATTGACGTTGACATAAAAGATTTCAACATATGAGCATGGATCTCCAAGTTTAATTAGAGGGGGTGGGGGGGTCCTTCTCTCCCACCTCCCTCCCTCCTACCTCTCACCCTACCCCCCTACGTCCCGACTTTCAAATCCGTACGTCGAGCCATTTAGATTTGTGCCCAACTGTTGACGGACGGCCGGACGCACGGACGCACGGACACACGCACGCACACATGCACGCATGCACGCACGCACGGACAATCATACGATTCTACAAGCTGCATCTGACTACGTCAGATGAGCTAACGATCAAAATCCTCAATCAGATGTGGTTCATGTTGTACACCTACTTACTGAGCCATTAGAAATGCCTCCACATTCCCCACACCATTGCTTTTACATAGATTAGTTTCAAGGGTTTCACAAATCGCAGGAGATCAAGTAAACCAGTCAGGAATCGTAAGCGAGAAATTCTGATATATAATATACCTAGGCTATCCAGCTGGCGTAATTGACAAGCAGTCTCAGCCAATCAGCAATCAGATAAGGACATTTTAAAATACACCACTTAGCATCAAAGTGAAGCAAAGTCGATAATTAGGCCTGCGTGCATTAAACATGCGTAGAAACGAGACGAGCTTGATTACCAGAGAACCTAAAAGATCTATCAACAAACACCCAAGGTGTGCGCCATGGTTGTCAAGCTCAGATGGATAGGTAAATTCCAAGCGGGCTTTCCACCATGCAACAAATGCTCACCTGGAGCCCAACATTTCCCAGCAATTCTATACAGCACTTGTACTTCTGTGCAGCCTGTGTTGGGTTTCCAGCCAGTAGCAGGTGTGACGCTTGCTCACTGTCTGCAGAGTATTGCTGCCGCAGCTTTACTGAATCATCACCTACACACAGAGAGTAGAATACAGCGAGTCGTTAAGCTTACCGGCGCTGAGAGGGTCTATGTCCCCCAGGGTACTGCCGGAACGTACCCTGGTACTATCTAATATGCCGGACCGTACCTCGCCTACTCCACTAACGAGTCTAGGGAGTCGCCTACGCCTACTCCCTAACCATATTCAAAGACCAGGGTCCATTCGCGCATACCCTGGGGAATAGACCCTATGGAGCTTACCCGGCGTGGGCAGCTGTTTATTGTAGTGGCTATAGGTATTTATAGCTTCAGTCATCAACTGATTTAAGGCCAGTGGATAAAAAGGAATCGACATTAAAATAAGTATAGTGCCCACAGTTCATGTTATCTGCAACAAACCGCTATCGCGTGCAAGCACAACGTTGCAACGGCGCATTGTCATTGCTAGCTGTTGTTGTTTGCGTTTTTGTTGTTGTTGTTTGCTGTTGGTGTTTCTTGCGGTGGTTATTTTGATCATGAGTAATTGATGACGTTGTTGGTTGTGTTAGTTATGTAATTAGTGTGTCGATAAGTATATAGTTTATGTTATTAACCGGCAACCATGTTGCTGCAGCATGCACAGGACAGCTTATCAATCGCAGCGGCCATTGTTAAAAGAACACAAGTAGTATGGGCGACATTGTAAGGGCCCTCCATGAGATGCCAACACATATTGATAGCAATCGTTTAGTTGCTGGCCCATATCAAATAGTAGTTGCTCGGGTCACGACGTTCACACGAGCTTCGCTAGGGGGTCCGGCAATTTTTTTATTTCTGAGATGAATTTAGCGCATTCTGAATGTCCAAAAATGGCAATAATTGAAAAAAAAATGACAATAATTGACATCTTTTTTTTTTTAGATCACTCGAAATTCGTAGTTTGTGTTGAATGTGGAAATAGAAATATCGTATAAAAACGCGAAAATCGTAGTGGTGGATCTCCTTCACGTCATAAATTAAAGTAGAGTAGCGTGTAACTCACCAAACGTTGTTGACTTCTCGCTAGACGTAACTTTCGCCAATGTTTCTTCGAAATGCCTCCTGATGTTCTTCAACTTAACGGCAGTTCACGTATAACAGCTATATCAGGCCGCGACATATAACGAAATTGATTTCATACTATTGCAATGCTTGCTGGCTGTCTCTTGTGTTTTGCTGCTGCTGCTGTCCCCTGTTGTTTTGCTGCTGCTGCTGTCTTGTTGATTTCTGCTGCTTAGCTTGTTTTGTTTCTGGCTGTGGCCTGCCTGCTGCTGCTTGCTGCCTGCTGGCTGCTGCTGCGGTCTTGCTCCTTGAGTGGCACCTTCTGCTCTTGATGCAGCTTCGCCTTGCATCCCATGACCCTCTGAAAACATTAAAAAGCATTTTGATACAACGCTCGGGTGTTCGATTACGAGGTCAATGACATACCAGTGTGAATGCAGCTGCGACAAGAAAGTCCCGCTGAGCGTGGTCTCCTTGGCGTTGTGTATATTCGGTATTCTGCAGCTAGTCGCTAGCTGAGCTGCGTGTGTACGATTTGCACAAACAGTAGATCTAGTCAAACATGGCTCCCTTTAAAACCCGTTCGCCTGCCCCGCCGCACGCACGCCCATAAGAAATAATAGGTAACTAGGGCTAAAGATTTCACACAACCATTCGATTAATTAAACAAAATAAAACATACGCAGTACGCACTGCTACATTTCAGCTAATTACCCTAGTAGCTGATGTCCCAGTATAGATATATATATGCTAAGTGCGACGGTTAAACATGTACACCAGAATAACACAGTTAGTCCAGCAGCAGTCAGTGACAACCTTTGTCTAATAAAGCTTGCTGGACTTTAGCCAGTTTCTGATTATTCCTCCATTAAGGATCAAGCCATGGGTAAACGCGGGAGCAGTTTTAATGGCAGCATGTAGTGTGCACCGCATACATCCAGCCGCCCATCTTCTCTAGTGATCCGTCACCCTGAATATGCCTGCACAGCAAACCACAGATCATGTGTAAGTCAGTATCTCTGTAATACATCTGTACAAATACATAGACAATGTAAAGGTCGAGTATCTCTGCTAATGACATCTGGCACGAACACAGATCATGTGTAAGTCAGTATCTGTGTAATACATCTGTACATAACATAATAGAGCAGCAGTAAGTCAGATCTATGTAAATACATCTGCACAAAACATACACAGCACCACGTGTAAGTACTATCTCTGTAATATCATCCGTACAAACAAAACACGACCACTTGTAAGTCAGTATGTCTAGTAATACACGCAAAACAAACATACACAGACCACGTGCAAGTGTTTTATCTCTGTAATTACATCTGCAACAAAACATCAGACCAGTTTGTAAGTCTGATGTTCCTAAATAACATTCTGTACAAACATACACAGACCACGGTCCGGTCGCGGGTGCAAGTCACTATCTCGTAATACACCCATAGCAACATACACAGACCACATGTGAATCCGTATCTCTGCGCCATTACATCCATACAAACAAACGCATTACATGCGCAAACAGACGTCAAATACGACATTTAATACTGTTAGGAAAAATTCACTGCAATGTTGATTGCACGGACGCAGAGAATGATATAGGCAACTGTAACATGCAAGTAATACTACTGCAGTGCGAACAAGACACTAAAATTGGGCTCAAAGTTTTCAGTGCAAGAATAGACATCACGTTACAGCTGTGATAGCATGAGCTTGAAGACTTGCTCATGAGTGAGAGTACCTTTGGCAGGTTTTCGTCCAGAAGCATTGCACGCGGAAGCCAAGTCTGATCTCGCGCACTCGAGTACTTCTCCATTTCAATGTACACGCTGGCAATGCCCATGACAATGTGAACAGCCAATATACCCACACAGCCTCTACATGTACTTTCTAATTCTACACAAACACAACAGGCTATTTCTTACATGCATTACAAAGTAATTTCTTACACACTCTCATACATTGCGGTTCATACATAGCACTGAAATGTTTAGTCAGGACTTTTTCAAGGAGCATTTTATCGAAATTCAAGACATTTTATCAGAATTCTAACACAGAACAAAAAACATACGCTGGATTAATTTAATAACCCCATCTTAATCACTGCATGGCCACCTCTTAAACTTACCTGGATCACCATTAATAAACCCTGTCTAAACACTTGTCACCTTTTACAACATACGCTGATTTACTGACTGATTTTACTGACTTACAGTCACTTACTGTAATTTGTGACCATCATTTAACTGTCTATCGTGTCTATAGCTTTTTAAGCTTATTTAACGCAATTTTAATCGAGGTTTGCACATTATTGATGGTACAAAATTTCTGTTTATTACAGGCAAGGATTCTTTCTAAAAATGTAAGGACTTTTCAAGCACAAAATCAACATTTACTAAATTTCAAGGACTCCCCTCAAATTCAATTACTTTTCAAGGACTGTGCGAACCATGTTATAAGTTGTTTCTTACATGCCGGAAAGTTTAGCACTTCAGTAGGAAAGGGATGAGATGACCGTAAAGATACAAAAACACGCCTTAGTACAGTGGTTCCCAAACTTTTTTATCTGGGCCGCACTTTTGGAATATAAATTTGCTCGCAGCACACTAAATTTTCCCATGATAAGAATTACATTCAAAAACAAAAAACAACTCCTAGCAGTGCTTGATTCATAACATAGAGCACAACTACTTTATATGATCATGTGACATCCAGAAAGTATAATAAATCTTACAAATAAGTGCAAAAATAACACACGATACTATTTAACACTGCACTGAATACAAAGGGAGATGGCATGAAATCTAGAAACTTCTGGAAAATTCGACCAGTTTCTAATTCTATACATATATATTTACCATATTATATCACATGTAAGTGTAACAAAATAAATCAAATGAGAAAATGACCTTCATATTTATTTTTGGCACATGAATTTTTTGAAAATGTTTCTTTGTTTGTCTTTGAAACTTTCCACCACACTTGCCATCCTCTTGCGCTGCACCACTGTGACATGCCCGCACCGTTTGGGAACCACTGCCTTAGTACATTCAGATGGAACCTTTTAATCAATTACACACAACACAATTAAACTTGCTGGTTGCATGTTCCCTAAAAAGTATATTTAGCAGTTTACCTGTGCCCGATTTCCGTAAACGATGTGATTGAATGGATTTATCTCGATGGCATCTGTATAGCGATGTAGTGCCTTTGAATAATCTTTCTTTAAAAATGCGTTGTTGCCAAAGTCTTTGAATCCTCTACTGTCCTGGTGCAACATTAACAGACAAGCAGTAAATACCACAAGATGACAGCTCAATGTATTCAATAAACGTAGACAAGTATAAACACATCAAATAGACTATGCTATGATAAGCCACACAAAAACACACACATCATGCAAACACTTGGTCATTTTGTACTCCCTAATATACACTCTAATTTTATATTATATGTTCTAGTCATTTGATATGACATATTCCAGTATATCATGACATATTTCTCAAATGATCTATGAACTTGCTGACAGTTACAACAAATGAATGCATTTCAGCACATGAAAAAAGGAACCACGTCATAATAATTAAACTGACCCATTTGTCTGGTGTGACTGACAGGCAGATCTAACTGATCAGTGTTGTGACAGGATGCTTTTAAAAGACAATGCTGGGAAAAGAGTTGCCACAAAGTCGGACAATTTGGCATGCACACGAGAAAAATATGTATAAACTAGTCCAGGCTGACCGATCTAGCAGCAATATCAAACTGGAGCATGCTTATCTCACCCAGATGGATAGGTCAATTTGCTAATCACCTGGGTACGCCGATCATCTGCTTTCTCATATTCTAAAAGGACGTTTGGAGTCACCACAGATTCTATCATGTAGCTGCAGAGTGATACAGCAGTAACCAACACGGCAGTGACAGACTGAAGGGGGTTTAGCTCCGGGAATAACCACGCAGTCTGTCGCCTGCAAGCCGTCAAATGTGTGATGTGAAGACACATACGTTGATTTGAACGCACCTAAACCCTGTCCCACCCCTCCGTCATCTCCCATCATATCAAGACACGCCACATTAAGTTAAGGTTACTCTCAAGGTTTTAGGCAAAATTTTACCGATTTTCCATTTTCAACTTTATTCGATGGCTAACACTATGTGCCACCGATGTACATGCTCATTTCTCCATATAACGATACATGTGAACTTTCAGAGCGTATTGATTATCCGCGCACACGTGTAGTGAGCTGCGGCTGACGTCACTGATGACATCAGAGACATGATACAACCAGAATTTTCATGATATTCACTAAGCCAGTATCATTCACATCAACCCTTCTACAGATGTTATCTGCCAGTGATAGGTTAAACTATCCCACGCTGCCCAAAATAGTTCTTTCACCTCACTACACACCTTACATTAGGCGCACGTTTGTTGACATATAGCTTAGTGACGTCAGGCAATGGGCGGTGTTCGTGCGTTTTGCATGAAATTGCGTTGGTAACCTCGTAATTTCTCAAGGTGCATTGAACATTTTACCAATTTAGTGGTGTCAGTTAGTCATGGATATGTCACAGTAAGTACCAGGTTTCTCCCTACGTTGCGCAAACGGGGCGTGCGCGCCCCGTTTGGGAAAACTCCCCCCTGTTTCAATCGTTGCGCCCCGTTTAAATTACCTCCGCCCCGATTAAATTCCACCACAATAAAAGTTGGACAGCGAGGGAATCGATCGTCAAGAATTCCCATTCCACCCGTACCACGCATGCACTGCAGCCCATACACAAGTTCAAACAGTTAACCTGTACCGCACCCAACAATAACTATGCACCGACTCGGCTATCTTATATATACAAGAACCCCAAATACCGTCTATGGTGTGGTGGCGATTTTACGCATTAATTAGTGGTACGGTAAAAAAACAGGCCCCCGGACCCCCCAAGTTTCCCCTCCCTTCCCCTCCCCCTCCCCTCCCCCCTGTTTCAATTTCATCCTGGGGAGAACCCTGAGTACTAACAGTAGATGTTTTACATACGTTCACCCATTTTGCAAACAGGCGGTCGATCATTGTGAAAAATAGAAAAACGCTGATTCTCCGTTTCGGTTTCTGACGTAGTAGCCGATGTATAAATGGATATTTCTCTGTGTTCTAATTATTACAACACGGAATAATTGATTCAATTCTAACACACTGCTTGATTTTTAAGCAGTTTTTTTCATTTTTCTCAGTAAATATGAAACGGTTTACTGCACAATGTTACCATGAGCTGACTCGTATTTCGAGAATAGTTGCCAAATCTACGTCATCCGCGTGATGTCACGAGAGCTGCGTTTTTCGCGTAGTTCTATTACAAAATAAGTTTAGAGCGCTGTATAAATTTTTTTATTGATGCATATAGTTGAAAAATAACAAAGCTATATATTACTATGTGTAACAGCCATATTTTTTTGCTTTCGCAGGGTCTTTAATGCAAAGTATTGATTCAGCAGGCATGTACACATACACTAAAGACACAGACTTACCCAATTTCTTCAAACATGTACCCATGATATAATTTTTCCATCAATCTCTCCAGAGACATTGGTAATGTTGTTTTCATCTCACTGGTTATTGTTGGAGCCAGCCTCTCAATAAGCTCACGAGCAAAAAATGAATCATCCCTCTGAAGGTAAAAAGATGCAGCCATTGCTATTACCTGCGTTCACACGAGACTCCGTATTTATGAAATTCGGTATTTGCGAGCTACCGAATCTGAGACAAATTCGCGACTTAAGCCCTGCTCAGGTCGCCCTACGATTTGACTATCTGCAACCACTTTATCGCCGATTAGCAGCGTAGCAACACACTTATGTCGACTTGAAGTGACTTAACGCTGTACATCGCCGATCAGATCATAGCGTTCTGCAGGAAACTAAGACGGGTTCGCGGCCCCAGTATTTGTACTAGCACAAGCAGTTATTTAGCAGAAACAGAGCAAGCTTGATGCCGGGACCAGTCTACATAAAACGAGTAACATGACCAACAAAACGGCGCTTACAAGTAAACATCACTGTCATCAGGTAACTTCGTAAATCTATCCTCAATTTTCTGAAAATCGTTATAATCATGTGCAGAAAAATTATTTAAAAAATTGCCTGTGGTATACGGAAAACTTAATATATATTTGAGAAAGGGTTTGTGCAATAATCCCTCCTTGTAAACTGCTGTGTAGGCTGCCATTTTGTTAATCACGTGACTTTTGATAATCATGTGACTCGACACGTAGCGGTGATTGGCTGCCACTCACGATTTGTCGCCGACTGCCGCGTAGAAATAAAACCGTTTCTATTCCTGCGATCGCAGGCGGCGATCGTATTTTCGATTGTAAGAGAACTCATGTCGATTTTAGTCGCCGATGTTTTTATCTGCGATCTGGCTGGTTTTTGACGTACGATCTTCAAATTTTGTCGGCAACTAGGACGTAAGGGCGACCTGTCACCTGAGTTGGCCTTCACTCTACCCGAGCGTTCACACGCTGTTTCGCGGCTTCAGAAATGCCGTATTTATTTACTTGCGAGCTGCGAGTTGAAAAAAAACAATGCGTCCAAGCGAACAATGCGAATTAAACAATCAATGCACAGCAACGACGACGACAGAATACGTAGACTATAGTCCGCACTCGACAGTTCCACTCGCGTCAGTGTAACGTGAATGGAACTGTCGCGCGCAGACCAGTCTATAAAATACGCGGCTTCAGAAATGGTGTATTTGCGTTCAGTTGCGTTCAGACGAGAGAAATACGCGGTCCAAGAGATTCGAAATTTCTCAAGCACGAGAAGTAATTCGGCATCTGGGAAGCCGCGTATTTAAACAAATACGGCATCTATTTAGATTCAGTATTGTTGGACCGCGCATTTTTGCCTAGTGTGAATGCTAAATACCGAATGTATTGCTCCGTGTGAACGCGGCTATTATTCTTCCTGAATTCGTATGTTAAAGCAAACACTTGTAGGAAAAGCCTTAGAATAATACTGGAATAATCAATGGGAAACTTACAAAAAAATCTAGCATCCTTTTCAGCACAAAACATAAAGCCATTGCACACACTTGTTCCTGGTCTCCTAAAACATTATCTTGAGACCTGCAAGAAAGCGTGTTATTAAAAGCCAAAGAATTTCCCAGCCGATTGTAACAGACAAACACACACCATTTTTCCAAAGGGTTTTATACATAAGAGGTGAAATTAACGCATTGACACAACCCCGCTGTATTTTCCACATTTTAGTAGATAAAGTGTTATAATTTTAGTATGTTTTAAAGAAATCCATCATGATTTTGCAAAGGTGGGACTTTACTGAATGGAGGCATTCAACAATGTCAGTGAACAGAAGCTACATGTGTTTCTTGACAATTTTGCCAGTTGTATGGGTGTGTAAGTTCAAGTTGAAGAATAAGACGTCCGATTATTTTGGATTCTGAGTGTCTTTTTATTTGGTGCCAACATGGACTGCGCGTGCTCATGTAAATACATTGCTATAGCAAGGATAACATATCGTATCGTAGCACAGTATAGTACCTCAGGGTTCCTGACAGATTTCAATGCACCCATTTCCCACCTCACATTATTTATACCGGCACCACTTTCATAGTCAAGGTTTCACTTTCATGGTCAACTTTCATAGTCAAGGATTCACTGCAGTTACCTGTCTGAGAGCAGCCCACCCGTGGTGATCCAGTTGTACTCCAATTCCCTTGTCGATGTGCCTGATAGGTATGGTTCCAGCAGTCTCTGCTTCAGAACACGGTGCTCACGGCACGTCAGGCTCAGTATCAAGTCCTCATCTATACGAGTTGAGCGACCATCATATTATCAGGAGTAGATATCTATATAGGATCAGAGTCTTCTATTATCTACTCCTGATATTATGTGCATGTACAATAGGGGTGCAACGAATCACAACTCCACGGTTCGGTTCGGTTTTCGGTTTTCACATTTCGGTTCGGTTATTTTCGGTTCGAATATTTGCGATCAATTACAAATCTTATAACACCAAACAGAAGTGCAAATTTAATAATCAGACTGGTTTATAAATACCATAGATCTGTAGGAAGCCGGCGGATCAACATATAAGTTGTCATTTTTGCAGACAAAATGAACGCGTTGACCTTCTCGTGGCATGTAGCAAGTGGTCTATCAATGTTATCTGCTCGCTGATTGGCCAAGAGTTTACGACCAGCCAATCGCAGTGCGCGTATCTCAAAAGCGTATATATCGGGTATATATAAAATGTGGAACCGAAACCGAGCCGAAAACGGAACGACGGTTCGAATATCCGAATGGTGGCGCAAAAACCGCGGTTTTCGGTTAACCGCGGTTAACCGTTACACCACTAATGTACAACAAGTTATACACAAACTTACAAAAAGCTGAAGGTAATTTACAACACCCCATAAGTCGTCCAACGTGCTCCCACCTACTAATCACCATGCCCCCAACTTCCAGCTTTGTTCACCTTTGACAATCCCAACAGTCATGCTGGTTTCACAGCATGATGTATATGTCTCGAAACTGAGGCCATAATAAAAATATTGTTTGTTTGCCCTCACCCGACCGACCTGCCAAAAAGGGGCCCCGACTCAAAAAATTGTAATGATCTTTTTCTTTTTCTTTTTAAGGATACTCTCAAGGTTTTAGGAAAAATTTTACCGATTTTTCATTTTCAACTTTATTCGATGGCTAACACTATGTGCCACCTGTGAACGTGCTCATTTCTCCATATAACGGTACATGTGAACTGTCAGAGCGTTTTGCTTGCCCACGTACATGTGTAGTGAGCCGCGGCTGACGTCATTATGAAGTCAGACACATGATACAATCAGCATTTTCACGATTCACAGAGGCAGTATCCATCAACATCAGGAGTAGATAATAGGAAATTCCCTATTATCTACTCCTGATCAACATCAACCCTGCTACAGCTGTACTACTACCCTGATCCAATAGGTATCCCACAAGAGCCTAAAATAGTTCTCACACCTCGCAACGCACCTTACATAAGGCGCGCGTTTGTTGACAGTGACGTCAGGCAATGGTCACCTTGTAATTTCTCAGAATTTCTCAAGGTGCATGGAACATTTTACCAATTTAGTGGTGTCAGTTAGTCATGGATATGTCGCAGTAAGTACTAACAATAGATATATCACATACGTTCACCCATTTTGCACACAGGCGGTCATTGTGAAAAATAGAAAAACCCTGATTTCTCCGTTTCGATTTCTGACATAGTAGCCGATGTATAAATGGATATTTCTCTGTGATTACAACTCGGATTAATTTAATTTTACACTCGTTTTAATGGTAACATATTGTGGTAAAGAAGTGTGTCAGGGATTGTTATTAAGTGCCGTATTTTTAGCTCATCTGACA